CCCGGGCAAACGCCGCGGCCCCGCGAAGGAGCCGACATGTGTCTGCGCCTTGGTGAGCCGCAGGGTGGGGGCGCGGGTCGCCGCGGGAGGGACCTCCCTGCAGGGACGAGCGCTGGGCGGGCCGAACCCGGGCCCGCGCCGCCCGCCCCGCCTCTGGCTGCGCCTGTTCCCCGGCGAGCTGGATCGCCTCCAAGGGCCGAAGCCCCTCTGCCCTCGCCCCGCTCTGGAGGAGGGACACGGCTGCCCGCAGGGGCCTCCGGGTGGCAGCGGAGGTGCCGGAGGGGGCCGCTCCCACCGCGCCCAGAAGGCAGAGCAGTCGGTGGGAGCGGGGAGCCGGGGGTTCCGAGCGGAGGGCTCCCCAGGCTGCAGGCAAAGGGGTCCCCAGCATTGGAGAGGGCCTGGGGTGCTCGCGGGCACTGGCGCTTCCTGGGGTCCCGCTCCAGCCCAGACACCTTGTAGCCTCAGCGCCCTGGTCAGTAAATGGGAGCACAGCGCCTCCCTCCTGGGCAGTGCGCGGGGGAGCTGCTGGGAGAGTCCAGCCCTTGGGGGCGGGGGGCTGGGGCGCAGGCCTCCCACACGCCCATGGCGATCCAGCCTCCCACCTGGCGGCTTAATTCCTCTCTCTGGTGAGCACACGTGCCCTATGATAAACTGGAAAAAATAAAATCAAAATAAAATCATTCTTAGAAAATTAAATAATGGGACCAGCAGTTAGCGTAATGGCTATGTCGCTGGACTCCCATGTAGTCGACTGTGGTTCACATCCTGGACCCGGTGGCTTAAAACTCACGCTGGGCGCGTGTGCGTGTGTGCCCAAGACCCCAAGAGGAGAATGGAGGAGAAGGGATTGTGGTGTGGCCATCCCCGCCCCCCAGGGGGCATATGATTTCTCACTTTCTGTCTCTCTGTCTCTGTCTGGCGAGGGTACATGCTGTATAGCAAAAACCTCTCCAAAATAAATAAATAATAAATTTTAAAATAGAGTAGAGCCCTGGCACTGCGCCAGCCACATTCCCGAGTGCTCCCAGAAGGGCACTTAGGAGAAAGGAGCCCAGGACAGCCCTGAGACTTCAGGTCCAGCCCCAAGCTGGCACGAAGCCACCCAGTCCCCTGTCCCTCCAGGCTTGGTCCCAGGATGCTCTGCTGTTACTGAGCCAGCCCTGAGCTGGAAGGTGCCCGGGCTGCCAAGCTGGTGGGTGGATAGGGTGAGGATGCTCAGGCCCTGGAGCTGCGGTGCCCCTTCCTGTCTGGCTGGCGGTTACCACAATTCCACTCCACGGTGTCTGTAGAAGACAGAGGCCTGTGGGCTCCAGGGGTCAGGAATCAGCTGGGCCAGCTCCTCCCTGTTCACAGAGTGGAGAGAGGGGCTGGGTGGGTCACATGGCGGGCTGTGACTGATGGCCCCTCCTGGCTGGCCCCTGCCCGGGGATGCCTGTCCTTGTCTCTGGCCCGAGATGCCCCACCCAGTGGCCCCCCCAGGCCGCCTCTCTCCTCCTCCCTCCTTCCTATTGTTGTAAGTGTGGAGAGGTGACTGTAGAGCCCCCTTATGTGAAATACGATCAACTCTCTCTGCCACACTGGGAAACTGAGGCCTGGGAAGGGACTCTGGTCCCTCTGGGGGCAGCTGAAGGGAGGAGGTTGTTTAGTTTAGGGCCTGGCCGGGCCTCCAGCCACCCTAGGCCGAGACCCGGAGAGCCAGGGTGCCGATGGGGAGCAGCCTGAGCAGCCCAAAGAGGAGGCTGCCGCCCCCGCGGTGTGACCAGGGGGTCGGGCAGCCCTGGGCCGCTCGGAGACTGCATGAGCCTCAGTGTTTTCTCCAACATCCCTCATCTCCCTGTCCCCACCCAGCACCCCCGGCTGCCCCCCAATCCCTGTGCAGCCCCTCGGTGCCCTCCCCACTGGCACAAGGGTTCTGCCTTCCGTTCTGCAGAGAGGAAACTCAGGCCTGAATCCAGCCCCAGGCCCCACTCTAGGTGTGGCACTCAGCAACTGTGTGTCGGACCCTGAACCAGGCCGCCCACCACCCTGACCCCTGCCCTGTGGACTGTGTGCGCCTCGGGGCCTGCTGTCCACGGTGGCACCCAGGGCCTGGCATGGAGCAGGCACTCGGGCATTTGTGTAAGGAACGCATGAGTGAGAGGGTCAGTGGGTGGGGAGCTTGGTGGAGGGGTCACGGCCGTGAGCGGGAGCCCAAGCTCACGTGACCCTGGGTGCTAACCAGGGCTGGCAGCCCCGGTAAGTCCCGCCAGGGCTCTCTCCAACATGAGGGCCCCAAGGACTCTCGCGGGCATCCTAAGCCTCATGTTTTTCAGTTTGCCAGAGAGCCTGCGCTGGAGAGAGGGAGGGACAGTGAGGAAGCGCCCCGCCCTGTGGGAGGCCACTCCACGGTCCCCTCCCCCTTCCTCTGCGATCCCTTCTCTTGCACGTCCCTCTCTGGATTCTAGGCACACATGAACACGCGCCTGGCATGTTTTTCAAGCTTTGGGGCCTGGGACTCAACCGCACAGTCAGCCATGCAGGACCCAGCGCCTTAATTACGGCCGCGGGAACTGAGGCTCAGAGGTCGTTGCCGGCCCCATGCCATCCGCCATCCGGAGTAAACTGGGAACCCGCCTCCACCGCTCCTGCCAGTGCCTGGGTTTCCTCTGCTCAGCAAGGGAGCCCCAACCTTGGCCCTGACCCTCTGGCCCTCACAGGTGGCCTGAGCGTGGGGGACTTCCGGAAGGTGCTGATGAAGACGGGGCTGGTGTTGGTGGTGCTCGGTCACCTGAGCTTCGTCGCAGCCGCCATCCTGCACGGCACCGTGCTGCGTCACGTGGCGGCCCCACACGGCCCGGTGGCTCTGCAGTACTGCGTGGTCAACATCATTGCTGTCACCTCCGCCATCGTGGTATGGCCAGGCCAGGGGGTGCTGGCGGGAGGGAGGGGCAGGACAGGCCGCCA